TATATATATATATATATATATTATTTCTTTAACTACAATTAAACTACACGTAATGAAAATAACATTCAATAACAATATTCTACATCATTAACCAAATCATTATGATAAATCTAATGATAGATAATTCAGTAATATGTATCTTTATAATTATAATGAATGAAAAAAAATGGTTATAATTTAGCATATAATTTTATATTCATTAATTTTATCTTTGACAAATTCATGTTAAAAAATGTCTGAGAAAGTATATTATTTAAGAAAAAAAATATTTTTTAATATAATAAAGAATAGAGAATATAAATTATTTAGTTAAATTAGAAGTATTTCCTAAGAATTAATATATATATATATATATATAATATTTTTTAATTACAATTAAACTACACTTAATGAAAATAACATCCAATAACAGTATACTACGTCATCTACCAAACCATTATGATAAATCTAATGATAGATAGTTCGGTAATATATATGTATAATATATATTTATAACTATAATCAATGAAAAAAAAAGTTATATCATTTACCCAATCGTATATTTAATGAAAACATTATATAATTAATTTAAGCTCATAATTTGTTATTAACACTGATTAATTGCGGAGAAAAATACATTTGGAATATGCAGTAAACTCATTATAAATGACAATAAAAACACAGTACATGAATTCAAATCTGCATAAAATAAACATTTCACTTTAAACAGTACATATATACATATATATCTAGAATATTTACGAATAAAATATATTTTTAGGAATTATTTTTTATACGATTCAAGAGATTTAAATTTTTATATTTTCAATTTATCATCTTTCAAAATAAATTTTAATATTTATTTTAAAATATCAATAATATTAAATTAATAATCTTATATCATAATATAAATTATTTAAAATATTATTTATATGTCTAAAAATATTTATTTAATAAAAAATTTAACTATAATTTTAAAAATATTATTTATTTTACTCATAACGACCCTATTTGGAACGGCCCGTGCCCAACAAGGATTTATAGGCCTATTTAGTGGTTCGGAATGGCCCGTTCTAGTTTTGGAATAGCCCGTTTTAACAAATATTTGTTAAATGTAAAATTTTAAATAAAAATGTAACAAATAAAATTAAATTAAATTACAAATAAATAATTTTAAAAAAATATATTTATATTAAAAATAATTTTGTAACACATAATGCTAAAATTAAATAATTATGATATCTATACCTATAAAGAGGATATATTTTAGTAATCACTTTTTTTGTTTCCACTTTTTCGTGGACCTTTATGCCCTTAAGTGTAAAAAAAAAATCTTATATATTCTACAACTTCTAATATTTATTTACGTATAATTATTTGAGGTACGAAGTACCTCTCAATCTCTCTATTTATATATAACTACAACTATTTTTAAAGTACAAGTATTCATAAATACGAATATTTTATTACTTATCTCACTTCATTATTAATTAGATATTTTTTTAATTATCCATTTATAATTTATAAAGAGTTTTATCTATTGATATCTAAATTACCCGGTATAAACACGATTAGTATAATCTGATTGTTTGTCAAAAACTAAAACATCCTTAAATAGTGTGTGAAAATAAAAATAGCTATTGTGAGATTCCTTTCTTCAAAATAATGTTACATGCAACTCCATTTTCTTTTCGTGCGAATTTAAGGGTCAAAGAATTCATCACACCTAAATCAAATCAAATGAAAGAATGTGACATACGCCTTGGACGGCATATGTTACGTAAGGTTTTTTTTATTTATTTTTTTTATTTTTTTTAGGAATAAGGATTAAGGAGAATGAATTTGGTCTCCCTTTTATTGTTAAAAAAATACTTATACCATGTGTGACTAATTATATATATATA